ATGGCAAGTGCTCTTCCTTGTGGCTTTTTTATTTCAATGGGAACTTGATGAGTCGATCCGCTCACGCGTCTCGCTTTTACTACTATCTTGGGAGTTACCTGAAGTATTGCTTCACGTAAAACGGATAGTGGATTTTTTTCTGTCTTTTGTTGAATCCTTTTCATAGCTCGATAGAAAATTCGATAAGCCAATAATTTTTTTCCGTGTTTCATAATATGGTTAATCAACCTGTTAACTACTCGATTACGATAAATTGGATCGGATTTTTCGATTTTCTTTTCTGCAGTACCTCGTCGTGACATGAGCTTAATAATCCATTTTTTTATAACTTAACTTATGGGGCTAAAATAATAATTTATTTTGGCTTTTTGGCTCCATATTTTGAACGCCCTTGTTGACGATCCCTTACTCCGCCAGCATCTAGGGGTCCTCGAACAATGTGATATCTCACACCAGGTAAATCCTTAACCCTTCCCCCTCTTACTAAGACTACAGAATGTTCTTGTAAATTATGGGCAATACCAGGTATATAAGCAGTAATTACAAATCCTGAGGTTAAGCGTACTCTGGCAACTTTACGTAACGCAGAGTTTGGTTTTTTCGGGTTAATAGTGTCAAAGTTGACAGATAAGTCATCCTTACTGCCACTCTACAGAACCGTACATGAGATTTTCACCGCATACGGCTCCTCGTTCAATTCTTTCGACGTAATTAGATCCTTTATCCTCGTTCGATAATCTCCACTTCTTCCCCCAAACCCAACAAAATAACGAGAACGAATGAAGTCAGCCACGTTTTCATGTTTGAATTGAACACTTTCGTTTTTTTATTCTCAAAGGAGAAAATTATTCTTTTTACTTTTACCAAACATATGTGGATCCAATTATGATCTTCTAATCAACTGTTTCAATCAATAGAAAACCTTTTTTTTTGTATGAATCCATATTATTACATTCCAATTCCTTCCCAATATTTCCCAAAGAAAATACCGAATTGGATCTTAAATTGACGGGTTAGTGTGAGCTTATCCATGCGGTTATGCTCTCTTTGAATAGGAATCTATTTTGTGAAAAATCCCGGCTTTCGTGCTTTGGTGGGTCTTTGAGATCCTTTCGATGACCTATGTTGAAAAGATATCTATTATGATTAGAATATAGAATATATTCTAGAATAATATTTAATATATTCTAAATAGATGTTTACTCTTCCATAATAGTATTAATTAGTATAAAATTACTATTAAACAATACTCTTTGAATAGAGCTAATTCATAGTATTCCAGTCCAACATTTTTATTTGAAAACTTTTTGAGTTATCTGTAAAAATAGATTCAGCTAATGAAAAGGCTTTCAATGCTGCCGTATATCCTTTTTTTTTCCAAAAATTCTTACGAATTTTTTTTTTTGATATAGAAGTGCGTTTTTTGGGAACTGGCATACAAGTAGTATAGTTTTTTCGTTGCTATAGTTTGATGTGAAAGACATTTGTTCTGTAAATGAACACGAATTATTCTGCAATTAGCCGTATGTCTTATCTATCGGAATTCCCTCTTTCTTTTTTTTCGATCAAAAGGTAAAGTAAAAACATTGAATATTATAAACCTTTTCCAAATTTTTCATAGATAATATTGATGATTCATGAATATATTACTTTAAATACTCTTTTTTTTCACTAGGAATTTTCTTATTGGCCGGTTTTCACTTTGTACTTTCCAATATTGGGACCAACCATTGTATTGTGCAAAGATTCAGAACAATTAAGAATATCCAATTCTATTTCTATATCCACTTTTTTATTAACCGAACCCCTTTACAAACAAAAGAGATAAAACAAACGAATAAGAAACAAAATTCATAAAGAATCTAAATATTTTTTATTCTTTTTTTTGTATGGAATATACACATCAATCTTCATGGATCATACCTTTCATCCCTCTTCCAATTCCTATTTTAATAGGGGTAGGACTTCTACTTTTTCCCACGGGAACAAAAAATATTCGCCGTATGTGGGCTTTTCCTAGTATTTTATTGTTAACCATAGTTATGATTTTTTCGATCGATTTATCGATTCATCAAATCGAGAATCGTTCTATCTATCAATATGTATGGTCTTGGACTATAAATAATGATCTTTCTTTAGAGTTTGGCTACTTGATCGATTCACTTAGTTCTATTATGTCAATATTAATAACTACTGTTGGTATTCTGGTTCTAATTTATAGTGATAGTTACATGTCTCATGATCAAGGCTATTTGAGATTTTTTACTTATATGAGTTTTTTTAATACTTCAATGTTAGGATTAGTTACTAGTTCCAATTTGATACAAGTTTATATTTTTTGGGAATTGGTTGGAATGTGTTCTTATCTATTAATAGGTTTTTGGTTCACACGTCCTATTGCGGCAAATGCTTGTCAAAAAGCGTTTGTAACGAATCGTGTAGGGGACTTTGGTTTCTTATTAGGAATTTTAGGTTTTTATTGGATAACTGGTAGTTTGGAATTTAGGGATTTATTTCTAATATTCAATAACTTAATTTATAAGAATGAGGTAAATATTATTTTTGTTACTTTGTGTGCCCTCTTGTTATTTTGCGGATCCGTTGCAAAATCTGCCCAATTCCCTCTTCATGTATGGTTACCAGATGCTATGGAAGGTCCTACTCCTATTTCTGCTCTTATACATGCTGCGACTATGGTAGCAGCGGGAATTTTTCTTGTAGCTCGACTTCTTCCTCTTTTCATAGTTATACCCTCCATAATGACTGGAATAGCTTTGATAGGTATAATAACAGTAGTATTAGGAGCTACTTTCGCTATTGCTCAAAAAGATATTAAGAAAAATTTAGCCTATTCTACAATGTCTCAATTGGGTTATATGATGTTAGCTTTAGGTATGGGCTCTTATCGAGCCGCTTTATTTCATTTGATTACTCATGCTTATTCAAAAGCATTGTTGTTTTTAGGATCTGGATCCATTATTCATTCAATGGAAGCTATTGTTGGATATTCTCCAGATAAAAGTCAAAATATGGTTCTTATGGGCGGTTTAACAAAACATGCGCCAATTACAAAAATGGCTTTTTTAATAGGTACACTTTCTCTTTGTGGTATCCCACCTTTTGCTTGTTTTTGGTCCAAGGATGAGATTCTTAATGATAGTTGGTTGTATTCACCAATTTTCGCAATAATAGCTTGTTCCACCGCAGGATTAACAGCATTTTATATGTTTCGAATTTATTTACTTGTTTTTGAAGGATATTTAAACGTTCATTTTCAAAATTTCAATGGAAAGAAAAATAGTTCATTCTATTCAATATCTTTATGGGGCAAAGAAGAAAAAAAAAATTAAAAAAGAAAATTCATTTATTAGCTTTATTAACAATGAATAATAATGAAAGGACTTCTTTTTTTCGGGAGAGGACATATTCACATCGAAGAAATCGAAATGTCAAAAGCATAAGACGTCTGTTTCTTGATAGTAAACATTTTGGTACTAAACACATTCCTTTTTTTTATCCTCATGAATCTGACAATACTATGATCTTTTCTATGCTTGTATTAGTACTATTTACTTTCTTCGTCGGGTCCATTGGAATTTCTTTCAGCCAAGAAGGAATAGATTTGGATCTATTATCTAAATTGTTAATTCCGTCTATGGATCTTTTCCATCCAAATTCAAAGAATTCTGTGGATTGGTATGAATTTTTTAGAAATGCAACTTTTTCGGTGAGTATAGCTTTTTTCGGAATATTTATAGCGTCTTTTTTCTATAAACCGATTTTTTCTTCTTTACAAAATTTGAACTTATTGAATTTATTTCAAAAATGTGTTCCTAAAAAAATGATTGCTGATAGAATAATCAATATTCTATATGATTGGTCATATAATCGTGGTTCTATAGATGCTTTTTTTGAAGTATCTTTAATTGCGAGTGTAAGAAAGTTAGCTAAATTCTATTCTTTTTTTGATAAACAGGTAATTGATGGAATTCCAAATGGAGTTGGTATTTTCAGTTTTTTTATAGGAGAGGCTATGAAATATGTGGGAGGGGGACGAATTTCTTCGTATATTTTCTTTTTTGTATTCATCTTTTTAGTAATTTGTTACTATCTATTTCTTTATATATTTCTAAAATAAAATTATGGAACATAATCCAATATACTGTAGTATTTAACCCCAATTGGGGTTATCCGCTAAGAATTCTGGTAGAGTTGTTTATGAATGTCTCATCTCAAAAGCTTCGGGTAAATCACGGAAGCTGCCGTAGCAGCTGCAACAGGAGTATAAATCATTTTCTCTTTTTTTTTGATGAAGGGCGGGGGCGGGCGAACGACGGGAATTGAACCCGCGCATGGTGGATTCACAATCCACT